ATAGCTGATATCCCAAAGATGCAGATGGCCCTGGGGGCCACTCAGCTGCATCTGGACCAAGGGCTTCCTGGCCTCCAAGACCCTTACAAACCTTGCTCTGGCTCATTTACTGGCTGCAGAACACCCAGCCACATTGCTGGAGGAAAGTGGATGGCTCTCCACATAGGCAGGCACCAGTAGCTACGACACTGGAGTGGTTATCCTTCCCATACCACCTGCAGCTGGTTAGCACAGGTGAAGATGCAGAGACCTCGGTGTAGCTCCTGCTGCCCCTCAGGGAGAAGCTTCCTCTCCAACTTTGGTGTCACTGAAGGCAGCTTGGCAAGTGTGCTTTAAAATGTCCCAAATGTAAATCCTTAACTGATTCAAGGCCGCATTGTGGGAGAAAAGCTTATAGACTGGCTTCTATTTAATAGCCCTAAACCTTACAAGGTTAGACAATACTTTCCGAGCAGTATCAAATAGCATGGACATTAAATACAGGGCACAGCAGGATGCAATCAGGGTCAACTCCCCCTTTCCTCTTTCTAGCCAGCCTGATGGGTGCTGAATAGGGATTGCTATTTAAACCCTGGACAGGTTTTTCCTTAGCACTATGTTCCCAAGCCTTCCATTGGCTGTCACCAACTACATAATTCTTAGGGGAGTTTGTCTGCTTTCCATTGGCTCTTGGTATGGTCAGCACCTCACTTGCATTCTAAGCCTTTCTGCCTCTACTGTATCTCACTTGAAGACTCCATTAGGCCTGGAGTCTCAAGGTCTCACCCCATCCAGGCCGCCACAAACCTGTTTTCCTGTAACACTTCTCCCCATTCCCAGGCTAGCCTGCCTAGTCTCCCTGACCACCTCTGGGAAGGAAGGCTGGCTTAACCTCAACTGAGACTAGTTATGAGCCTTACTTCTATAAAAAAGTCATTGAAGATATTGAGCATGGATGGTCCACAGAGCCTCCAGGCAGAAAGGGCACCAGCAAACGCTGGTACAAAACTGGTGGGTTTGACTGCTCCAGCAGGGAGACAGCAACCCCAAAGCCAAGTCAGAGCCGTGCACATGACTCTGGGCTGGAGTGAGAGCCTGGACTATTGGGCAATTCCTTGGGACAAAAAAGGGGCTGCCAGTCCTCTTTGGGCACTTGTTTGCAAAATGTCAGCTGGAACACAGCTTGACCCCTTCCTGAACCAGACAGCTGTCCTACAAGTGCAGCTCACATTTGCCGTGAACTAGGATACACATCAGAATTCTGAGAGAAGCTGTTGATGGCCTAGGAAGTGGGTTAGGGTAGAAGCCCTCAGGACTCCAGCAGGATTCTCCTGGAAGGACAGATTCCCTGGGCTCTTTTTAGGGCAGGCAGGGCTCCTCACAATAAATACCCAAGGATGCCTGAATTTGTCTCACAGATGAAGAGTTTTTTCCTTTGGGAAGGTTAGAAAAGAAAACTACCTCACAAAGTTTGCAAATGTGTTTATACCCATCAAGTGTCCACAGAGATGGAAAACTCTTACTTGGAAATGTTACACTCCAACAGGGGCTCCGAACGGGCATTCTGAGATTGGTTTCATCCTTTTTTTGGAACTGGTAATTTCCACATCCATTTTTCTGGCTACATCTTTTTCCAGTTATCAAAATCAAGGGGCAGCTAGGTGGCACAGTGAATAGAGCACCAGCCCTAGAATCAGGAAAGTCCAAGTTCAAATCTGATCTCAGACACTTGACATTTACTAGCTGTGTCACCTTGGGCAAGTCACCTAACCCTGACTGCCTCACCCCCCCCCCCCCAAATCAATAGGAATGTACCATATGGGCTTCTGATTTACAACTGTGTAGGCTTTAATTCCCAAATCAGTTCTTTTCCCTGCACAGGCAGCTTCCTGTTCATAGGACCTGTAATGAAAGAATCATGCCTCCCCTTTGAGGTTTCTTACAAGTCCTGAATCAATGAGGCAAAATGATTTTTAGAGCTCCTTTGTTGATCTCTCTCAAAAACTACCTTTACCTATTTGTACAAAAATATTTAAAGCAGCTCTTTCTGTGGTGGCTAAGAATCGGAAATCAAAGGAATGCCCATCAGTGGTATATGGTTGTAATGGAATATTATTGCACTGTAATAAATGACAAGCAGGATGATTTCAGAGAAACCTGGAAAGACTTATATGAACTGATGCAAAGTAAAGTGAACAGAACCAGAACGTTGTACACAGTAACAGCAATCTTGTTTGATGAAGAACTGTGAATGACTTAAGCTCTTCTCAGCAATACAATAATCCAAGACAATCCCAAAAGACTCATGATAAAGCAGACTCTCCGCCTCCAGAGGAAGAACTGATATTGAATACAGACTGAAGCAGACTATTTTCCAGGTTTTTTTCCTTTCATTTTTTTTCTTTTACTCCAGTCTTCTTGTACAAAATGACTAATCTGGAAATGTTTTACATAATTGCACATGTATAACTTATATCTGATTGCTTACTGTCGCGGGTGGGGAGGACAGATGGAATTTGGAACTCAAAACTTTAAATACAAATGTTAAAAAAATTTAAAAACCTGTGCTTGTATGTACAGTAGTTTGTCCTCACCTAACTTGCAACATACTTTGTACGGTTTAATCTGACCTCTTCTTTGCCTGCAATAAAGAGAGCTGGAGCCAGTCAAAATACTGTGCAGTGTTTTAAAATGTTAGAAATAACCAGCTGGGACTCTAGCTTAGTGTTTTGATACTTGAGAGCTGTGGTGGGAGCAATATCCTCAGGTCCCACCTTATCCAGGGGAGGCCAGTTTTCTTTAAAAGACATTGGAACCATCCTTACTACTTGGTTCAGGACACTACATGTTCCAATAAATGAACCAAGTAGCCAAAACGGTGGTGCTCCAGTTGGTGGACAGGGGAGAGAAGCTATGCTCAACAAGATCACGTGTGTTTTCCTTTTGAACATTCCTTCCCACTCTGAACACTCTCCCCTAGTTGTGGTTAAATAAGCCTCCTTTTATTAACCGCTAAGCATTCCCTGCTGCTTCATCTTAATCCAATCTTGAACCCAAGGTATCATAAAGGCTTGGTCAGAGCTGGGCTGCTTTAAGAGTAGACTTATCTTACATCCTCATGCTAGCATGCCCTCAGCAACACTGGAAACTTCATTTATACTACAAACTATTCTGGGAGAGAGGAGGTGGAAACCTGATGAACAAATCCTATTCGATGCAACATGCACCTCTGGTTCAATATGCATTTATTGGTTAAATCAGTCTGCTCTTGCTTGAACAGCAGGGAAGCAGTTGGGCTACAATTTCCTGCAAAACTAGCCCTGATGTTTCTCTTCTCAAATTATATCTCTTTGCTGCCTGATCCTTCAAAGTTAGAGGGATTAGTCGATACAAATTATGATTTAAGAACTCTCTGATGACAGAAGTTGTGATTAGATCGTCATCATACATTATCTTTGGATGAGGAAACAAAAACAAAACAAACAAAAAACCCCCCCCAAAACTGAACGAGAGTCCATAAGACAAATTAGACAATTTTGATGATATAAGACTAGAATGCTTTTGGATAAAACAATGTAGCCAGAAGATATGGTGGAATGGGGAAAATCTTTGCATCAGTTATCTTTCGAAAATCTAATATCCAAAATGGAGGTAACTCACACATGTCTAAGACACACCCAAAGAGGTAAGTGGTCAATAACAAGATATTCCAAAGAAATGGAAACAGCAAACCACCACTAATAAATAGTGAGAGACATACCATTTAAACAACTTAGCCTTTACCTCACACCCATTCAGTAGGCAAAGATGATAGAGGAAATAGACCACTGAAGACAGGCTAATGGAGAGGCAGAAAACTTCTATGATTTTGACAATCGGTTGAGAATTACAGGAGAAAAGTCACCCAACCATATGCTCTGATTTACTGATCTCACTACTAGGCATATGTCCAATAATAGAATTGGCCCATATATACTAAAACATTTATAATTTTCTACTACTTAGTAGTAGAAGGAAAAAAAAAGCTATCCATCCATTGGGAAACGGCTAAGCTATGGAACATAAATAATGGAATATTATTGTGTTATAAGAAATCATGAATATGAAAAATTCAGAGAAATACAGAAAGATTTAGGACCATTGATTTAGAGCCAGAAGAGACCCCAGAGGCTATATATTTCAGTGCCCTCATTTTGCAGATAAGAAAAATAAGATCCAGAAAGCTAGCGACATAGCCACATTCCCACAGATAGTAAGCAACAAAAGAGAATTTAAACTCAGATCCCCCTAACTAAGCAGAACCAGGCAGATGGTACACACAATAATGAAAAGAAGATAAACAGAATAGTCCTAAGGGACAGCTGAACCACAATGGCCAACCTTGATGCTGGATAGACAAGGAGGAAACACTTCCCTCCTCTTTGGAAAAAAGTGGAAGGTGGTGATGGGTACAGAATATTGCCTCAATCATCAGACACTGTCATTTTGTAAGCCTAATTTGCTTGCTGTCTTTGTTGTAAGGGAGGATTCCATAGGGGGGAAAGCAAGGAAGGAGGATCTACCATTACATGGGGTGAAAAAAAAAGTGGTGAAATGAAACTTTTTTTAAGGGACATGGGTAGTATCCCCAGCATTTAAGCTTTTGCCGAGCTGGTAACATGCGATAACCTCGTTTCTACTACTCTGGATTAATATAATTTATATTACCAAAATCAGCTCACCCGGCACACAAAAATATGGGGTGAACTCCTTTCCAGAAGGGATGGCTTAGTCACAGCTTGCTGATACTTTTAGTATATCTCCCCCACACTGTCAAAGCTTTAATTGGTCCTGTGGAAGTTCCCTGTATATCTGATTCAACAGGTCTTGGATAAATTTAATTATAAGTTTCTATCCATCAGAATTCCTGGTTTGCTTCCTAGTAAACCCATATGTGCTGAATAAAGCTTGAGGTATGACAAAGGCTTTTCTCACCATCACCACCTCTCCCCCAAGTGTAATATTCAATTCTGAAAAAGCTGTGACATCGCAACAAAAACATCTTCATTAATCTAGATTCTCTTTAGTATGTATTTCCTGCTGTTGAATATAGACTGAGTTTTGACTGAAGGATTTCCCATATTCATTGGGTTTGTTCTCTTTTGTGTGAATTTTCTGGTGTTTAATAAAGACGGAATTTCGAGTGAAAGATTTTCCACACTCATTACATTCAAAAGGTTTATGATCTTCACTATGAATTTTCTGGTGCTGAGTAAAGACTGAGCTTCGACTGAAACACTTCCCACATTCATTACATTCATAGGGTTTCTCTTTAGTATGAGTCCGCTGGTGTTCAATAAGATGAAAGGTCCGATTGAAGGATTTCCCACACTCATTACATTTACAGGGTTTATCACCAGTGTGAACTTTCTGGTGATCACGAAATGTAGATTTGTGCCTAAAGGCTTTTCCACATTCGTTGCATTCATAAGGTTTCTCATCCTTATGGATGCTCTGATGTTGAACAAGATGTTTTCTCAGACTAAAAGCTTTCCCACATTGATTACATACATAGGGCTTCTCTTTGGTGTGAATTATCTGATGTCCAATAAGAAGTGCACTTCGACTGAATGATCGCCCACATTCACCACATTCATAGGGTTTCTCTCCAGTGTGAATTCTCTGGTGCTCAATAAGACGGAAACGCCGATTATAGGATTTCCCACATTCATGACATTCATAGGGTTTCTCTTTGGTGTGAGTGATCTGATGTCCAGTGAGGTATGATTTCTTACAGAAAGCTTTCCCACATTCTTCACATTTGTAAGGTTTCTCTGTAGTATGGATTCTTTCATGTTCAATAAGAAATGAACTATTGCTAAAACATTTGCCACACTGGTTACATTCATAGGGCCTTTCCCCAGTATGGATTTTCTGATGACGTATAAAGCCAGAATTCCTAGTAAATGACTTTCCACATTTATTGCACTCGTAAGGCTTCTCTCCAGTATGAGTTCTCATATGTTCAAGGAGTTGTGAACGGTGGCTAAAACTCTTCATACATTTTTCACATTCATAGGGTTTTTCTCCAGTGTGGATTCTCTGATGGTCCAGAAGCCGTGACTTGCGCCCAAAAGCCATACCACACTCATTACAACCAAAGGGTTTTTCTCCCGTGTGGAGTTTTTGATGATGGAAGTGACATGAGCTGTCTCTGAAGGCTTTCCCACACTCAGTGCATCTATATGCTCTCTCTGGAGCATGGCTTCTCTGATGCTCTGTGAGGTACCAGGAACGTCGGAAAGTCTTCCCACACTCCTTACATGCATAGGGTTTCTCTCCTGTGTGAATCCTCTGATGTTCAATGAGGTATGAGTTACGAATGAAGCCTTTCCCACATTCATTACAATGATAGGGTTTCTCTCCAGAATGAATTTTTAGATGCTGGAAAAGGCTTGAGCGATTACTCAAAGTTTTCCCACATTCGTCACATTTATAAAGCTCTTCTCCTGTGTGGATGAACTGATGCCGAAGCAGGCTTGAGCTATTTCTGAAGGCTTTCCCACATTCACCACATTTGTAGGGTTTTTCTCCTGTGTGGATGAGCTGATGCTGAAGGAGGCTTGAGCTGGTACTAAAAGCCTTTCCACAGTCATCACATTTGTAAGGTTTTTCAACAGTGTGCACTTTCTGATGCTCCAAGAGATCTTGGCTTTGACTGAACGCTCTCCCACATTTGTTACATCTATAAGGTTTCTCTCCAGTGTGAATTCTCTGGTGCTCAGTAAGGGTTGATTTTCTCTTGAAAGTTTTCCCACACTCTCTACATGAAAAGGGTCTCTCTCCAGTATGAATAACCTGATGTCGGATGAGGTGATAGCTTCGGGTAAAACTTTTCCCACACTCATAACATACGTAGCGCCCTGGTCCAGTGTGAATGCTTTGATGCTGAGTGAGGTGGGACACGGTAACAAAGTGTTCTCCACAGTCATATGGCGCCTCATTAGTTTGGAATACATTAAATCCAACTAAGGTGGAATTCTGGCTGCTGAAAAAGTCTTCATATTTGTTAAGCAGGCCTGGTTTTTCCTCTGTGTGGAGGAAGAGCTGGTTGTTATGATCTAGGATTCTCTGTTTCAAAGTTGTTTCTTCATTCAGGACAAAAGAGCTTCCATGTTCACTAAGCATGTCTACTTTGTCTTCTGCTTGGAAAAGCCAATCATTGCTGTCTACAATTTCATGCTTCAATGCTGTCTCTCCATTCCCTGTCTTGTCCTCATCACCTTAGAAAAAGACAAAACAAAATGAGAGCATGAAAAAGAATTCAGATAAAATCTGCTTTAGGGGATGAAAAGTGAGGAAGATGTAAGAAGGGCCAAATGTGAACATGGTCCAGAACATGGTCCTAGAACTGCCTATGGACAGATAGGCAAAATAATTCACAGTCTTAACCTGGGTTCCAGATCTTCCTTAGTGCGGCACTAACTGGCCACAGAACCCGCAAAAATCACAGAAGGCAACTTGGAAGCCATATTTTAAGAAAGTTCTGAACATAACACCAAGTAAAATGAACATTTCCATTTATATAGTAAGAAAGAGAATTATAAATGAAACTATGAATCTATTATATACAACTAATTTTTCCTTTTAGGTTTATAATTCAATACGTAGTTTTCAAAGCTGTCCTACTTATGTATTCTTCCTTCTGTTCTCTCCTGCTGCCCCCCAAATAAAACAATTAAAAACAAAAAACCCCCCCCACATAATCCAGCAAAATACTGCCACAATCACTATGACCAAAAATGCACGCTTCATTTTGGATTTTAAGTCCATCATGTCTAGGAGTAGTTAGGTGGTAGGATCCATTTTCATACCTCTGGACTTTTGAATTATGATTGAAAGAGAAACATTTTGAAAGAACACATAATCTCTATATAAGCCAAAGTTACTGACCTTGAAGACAACTTGCAAAGGCAATTTAAGAATCATAGGTTTCCCATAATGTGTCAGTTAAAAAAACCTGAATTCCTTAATGCAGAAAATAACACAAGAAACCTGCCCTGAATGTGTGAATTCAGAAAACAAAGCACAATCAAAAGAAGTTCCAGATCACCTCCAGAAAAACAGAAACAAAACACAGGGTGGTATGGTAGTTAGAGAGTTGCACTCAGAGTTAGTAAAAGAAGTAAAGACCTACCAAAATGTTAAATACTCAAATGAACAAAATCCTAAATAAAGATCTTAAATATTCCAATCACAGGAAAGGAAAGAATTGTAAAAGAGTTATCAAAGGGAGAAAAAAACTTCCTGGTCCATATGGTCTAGAAAACTCAACCAAAATGCTCTATGAGGCAAATATAGTCCTAATACCTAAACTAGGAAAGGATAAAGCAAAGAAAGAGAATTATAGTCAATATTATTAACAAACAGGTTTTTAAAAAGAAATTAAATGAAATTATGGCTAAAAGATTACAGCAATTTACTAATTCAAAATCATTTTCTATTATCAAGCTGGATGTATACTTAGAATGCAAGAATGGTTCAACACTAGGAAAACAATCAACATAATTAATCATTAAGAATAAAAACATTCAAAACCAAAAGCTATCATCTAAGCAGTAAAGAAACTCAAAGTTTTCCCATTAAATACAGTAGTAAAGGAAGGATTCCCTCCCAATGATTGGAAATAATTCTAGAAATACTGGCAACAGAAATGACAAGTGAAAGAATTAAAAGTCTACAGATTGGTAGAAGACACAAAACTACTCCTAGGTGAAATGACTTTAAAGTTTTAGGCATCAGCAAAGAAACTAACAGAGACAATTAAGGGCTTCAGTAAAGTTTTAGACTACAAAACAAACTCACAAAAATCAACAACTTTTCTATAAAACTCGAATCTAATAATAAAAAGAGAAGTCCCACTCAAAAGAACTACAAAACACACAAAATAGCTCTGAGTCAATCAATACCTGACGATACAATTACAAAACGGTTGGAAATAAAAGACAACTTCAATAGCTGGAAAAAAATTCAATGCTCATGGCTGGGCAGTGCCAATCACACAAGTGACACTGCTGTTGAAGTTAATCTATCAATTTAGTGCTACACCAATCCACCTTCCAAAGGGACCCTTTACAGAGTGAGACAAAATAACAACATTCTTTTGGGAAAAGAAAATATCCTGAGAATCTGGGGAAATAATGAAGAAAGGAAGGACTGAAGTACCAATAAATAGCATTTTTAGACCTCACACTAGGAGAAATCATCCCAATCAACTGGCAGAGATTAACAAACAGAAAACTATCCATGGAACAGATTTACAACTATGAATGGCTAGCACTTAGATGGAGCTTTAAGGTATGTAAAATGAATATTTTCTCATTTGATCCTCTTCACAACAATCCTATTTTACAGAGTGTCTGAGGCTGGACAGCTTAGGTTTTCCAACCCTTGGGCTACCGCCCACCAAGCTGCCCAGACTGGACAAAAGAGATTCAGGAAATAACAGAACGCAGTAATCCCAAGGTAAACACTCTGGCTGAAAATTAGGTTTAGACTAATGTTTTACACCATATTCCAAAATCAATTCAAAGTTGGTCAATGGCCAGAATTTTAATGACCACATCATTAAAAAATTAGAAGTAAATCATCTCCTTTTTCACAGCCACGGGTGGTGGTGAATTCTTAACCAACCAAAGGACTGTGGCAATCCTGAAAATTGGTGACTGATTACATGCAATGAGAAAAACTGACTTGTGAACAAAACCAACAAATACTCATCGACCGAATAGTAATGCTCTTAGCTGGAAAAGAGGAGCCGTCAACTGGGCTTTCTTAAAAGGGCTTGAGATCCAAGACATATGGACAGCTAATGGAAAAAGAGAAGACCAAGAGCCATTCCACAACACAGAAGGGGTCAAAGGGTACGAACAAACCACCCTGGAAAGAAAGGCAAACTAGTAATAACCATGGGAAAGAACAGCTTAAACCTCTAACACCCCAAGGTTTCACTTCACCCCCAGCAAGTTGGGAAAGATGACAGAAAACGGAGGCAGTCGACGCCGGAGGGGGTGAAGCAGTGGGGGCATCGCTGCCTTCTTGGGGAGCTCTGGATCCTTCTGGCTGTTCTGCAAAGCCATTCGTAACTAGGCCCACAAAATCACCACCCTGCCATGGTTCGGACCCAAACACACCACGACCAGCCCTAGACCTCACAGAGAGCAAATAAAGAGGGAATGGATCCAGAAGGACAAAGAGACTGATGATGTCTCTTTTCGTGGTAGCCACAAATGAGACAGGACAATGACTGGACAAATACAACAAAATACAAATGTGCTTTAAGAGATGACGAAGCAGACTTTCAGAGCATACTGGGAGATCTCTCTGCACTGACAGAGGCATGAGAGCAGAACAAGAACAACCATTTACACAACTGCAGCAGTAACTCAGAGAAAGCCAGCTTTGGCAGATTCCAGAGCTCTGGTTAATGCCAGGACAATCCGCCAGGCCAAAAGAGCAAAGATGTTGCTGATGTCTATGCAGCTGCCTACCAAGGGCTTTATTTGGGGGCTCTTTTCTATTTAGTCAACTATGTGCATTAGGGTGCGGATGGAGGGTGGAAGGGGTAGTGGGAGAGACAGAAACAGTTTTAAAATGCTTATTAGTTGAAAAAACAAACATGTTGCCTCAAAAAAAGTGAAGGTTATTCCATGTATTAGGCAAACGTTAAAGTGACCTTATACATCTCCTTTGGTGCAGAATTCTAGTTTTACCTTTCTGTGTGTGTTTCAGATCCCTTTGGCAGTCTGGTGAAGCTAAGGGGCCCTTTCTTTAGGAAGGGGAGGGGAATGATGAATTTTTTTTCATTTAAATTTTACATCCTAAAAACTTTGAAATATTATATTAGGATATGCTAATTTTCTGTTAAAGTCTGGTGAAAATAAAGATGAAATCTTTCCCATCCACTTTCTTTGACCCCTGCCTTAGAGACAAATGCTTCCCTCTCTGTGAACGGAAGCTGCTTCTTCTGCAAAATGAGGGTAACCCTACTCTACCCATCTCCCTGGGGAAGTTGTCAGTAGAGACAAGACAGGGCGTGCTTGTTAGATACCTGTGGGAAACTGAGCCATAATCAAAAACAAGAGATAACAACCCAAGTTGAGAAATGTCCCCTAAAACAAAAACTGGGCTCAGTGACAGAACCCCAATTTTCTTCCTCACCTGTAATTATAGTCTGGGAAGATTAAGGTCCAGCTTTCCTGAATTACCAATTAGGCAAACCTGTCACTAGAGTTTAAACTTCAGGGGCTGGAGGGGGAGACCCCAGAGTAGACCGGAACAGACCCCCAACTCACCGTTCTCTCCCCTGGACAGCAGATCCTGAGTCATCCCCTCCGGCTCAACCTTCACAGGTGGAAAGAAGAGGGTCCTTGGGACAGGCTGCTCCATCGGAGTTAGCATCCCAGGGGCCGGACCCCAGACCTGCAGACAGGTCACATCAGAGCAGAGCCCTGGGATGGGTGGGAGGGGGGAGAGGAAAGGAGGGGGAGGAGGCAGGACCCTCTCCCTGAGGCAGATACCCCCAAATTTCCAAAGGTGCCCAGCCTGGTCCTAAGTGCATCATGCTCCCCCTCCCCTCCCCCATCCCTGAGAAGTCTGAGGACTGGAAGGCTGAATTGGGGTCCCCAAGGGGAAGATCCTGGGGTGTCTTGGCCCTCCCCCTCCCCCAGGCCCACCCGTGATGGCAGCTGGGAGGGGGGCAGGGGTCTCACCTGCCGGGGTCGGGAGGCCCCAGTGGCCGCCATCCCGCAGCCCCCGACCCAGCGGGGCTCGGTCCGATGCTGCTCCTGATTCTGGGACCCCGGCTCTGAGGAGAGACACGGACACGCGGGAAAGAGAACACCCAAGGCTCGTAGGGGACGGGGCACCCACTCAGGCTTGGGAGACCCCACGGGAGGAGGCACCGCTGACACCCCCCACAGACACTCAGGGGTGGGCAGGAGGAGGGGAGATGCCCCCACCGGGAGCTCACGCATGAAGGGAGGGGACACTTACCCAGAAAGGAGAGAAGATCCACAGGAGGAGGCCCCGCCCCCCACAGGTCACCCACGTGGGGTGGGGGGCCAGAGAGCTGCCCGGGGGAGGGGGAAACCCACGCGGGGGGAGGCGCCACTGACAACTCCTTCTAACAGCCCCCGGGGAGAGGTGTTAGCGCCCTCGGCTCCGCGCCGGGACTTGAACCCACGGCCCGACGCTGTCCCCACTCGGGACGTGCGCCCACGAACCACGTGCGCCCAGCAAGGGATAGACAGGAAGTGCCTCCGCTCGCTCGTGGGTATGAGCCGCTACCCCGCCTGCCCAGCGCACTTCCGGTGCGCTCTAGGCTGCCCGGAGGCCGACCCGTCTCGGTGGTTGGGGTGGTGAGGGCGGGGCCAAGGTCACATGGGTCCGCCAGGAACCAGAACACCTAGTGCTTTTCCGTGGCCCTTCTGGGCTTCATCTCTATGATTTCAGGACCCCCACCTTGGGGTAGGGGAGGCGGAGCCAGGGTCATGAGGACCAGCGGGAGGTGGGGGGGAGGGCCTCTTCTTCCCACCGGGCACACTTCCCGTGCTGCTCGGAGGCCGCTCGTCTCGATGGCTCTGGCACCCTGCCGGGGCGGGGCGGGAGTCTGGGCAGGCTAGAGCCATGCTAGGGCTGAACCCTTCTCCAGGCGAACAGAAGAGAAAATGGGCTGCTGGGAGGAGGTCCACAGCTGCTGTCCTAATCCCGAGTCGGGGCTGAAATGGCCCCTGCGGTTCTCCCCCATCCCTGACCCTCTGCTTGTGCCTCAGTTTCCTCTGTAAAATGGGAAGGGGGAAGACACTGGTAATAAAGAATTCCAAAGAGAGGCTGTAAAGCTCCCCCCCCCCCCCAGCCATCTGTGTCCTCTGACCCTGCCCATTCAAGGTCTGGGTCAGTCTGTGCCCAGCTCAGTCAGTATTGGGACCTTGAACTCAGGGCTTCTACCCACTACTGCTTCCCATCCAGCTGCATGTCCAGGGTGATGCTGGCTGGGGGTCCAGGTGGAAGAGTGAAGAGTCCTCAACTCTCCCCAGTCTCCCCTTCCCTGCTGGTCAAATAGCCAAGGAGCTGGATATCACTCCTCGAAAACCACTTTATCCACACCGGGAGGCCCACAACAAGCTTGGACCCTGCAGATTCTGTCCATGACCATTTATTGAGAGTTCCCTTTGAGCAAAATGGGCACCCCCTCCACCCCCCGACAATGAGATGAGGGGAGCTGGGCGTGAGGCCTGGCCCCTCCATCTGCCGGTCAGCGGGTGAAGGCCAGAACCAGCTGCGAAGACAGAGTATGCGGCAACATGTCCACAGGCACAGCTCGGCTCAGTGTGAAAGGTTCACCTGGGAGGTCCGGGCCAGAGGACGCAGGGCAGCAGAGCCTGCAGACACCGGGGTCCTTGGTCAGCCCCAGAGCCCCCTTGGGGACACCTCCCCAGCTCAGGCCTCCCTCACTCACTGAAAGAAAGTATCCATGTCTTCTGCGTGAGGCCGGCCAGAGATGAACACTAGCTTCTGGATGGCTGGGCAGCCCCGGATGGCACGAATGACCCTGTGAGCTGATGGCAGAAATGGGAAGCGGGGGGAAGGATAAACATCAAAGCGGGGCTGCCTTGAGTTTGAGGGCCAGCCTGCAGGGAGAACCTCGGGAACCCTCAAGCTGGGGGGATGAGTCCCACGGGACACGCTTACGCAGTCCAGCACCCACAGGGTCCACCAGTGCCATCAGTGCTCGACCATCCCCTCGAAACTTCCCAAGCCAGTTCACAGCCTTCTCCATGTCACACTGCCGGCACTCCCAGTTGGTGATCTCTGCAGGAGAAAGGTATGATCCTTGCGTGTGGCAAAAGCTCCTTCCCCAGATCCCAACTGGGCTGGGGGGGGGTGGGACTGGCCTGGCTGTGTTTGGCCCCAGGGGTCTTTTGTGGGTGACCACGGAGGGCTCCTTAGGGATCTGTAAGCCAGTTTGTGTGACAGACCCCGCCGGACCCACCCCTCCTCACATGGTTAAAGAATAGGAGATTCTCAAACTGGGCTAGAGGCAAGGAAAAGTAAAGATGATTCTGCTATCTCCCCTCCCCACCCCCCTCCCCCATCCAACTTCACTGACCCTCTGAGATCCATCCATGGACCCCTGACCTCTGAGGTGACTCTGGGATTCTGGTGAGAACCAGGTAGAGCAGGCCTTTGGCCCCTCTGCCCCCTGCCCACACCTCCCAAAGAGGTAAGAAGTGCGCCTTCCAGGCCCCCTCCTGTACCATTGAAGGCCGCGCTCCACCTAGCATCCTCCACAGCTTGCCTGACCAGCCGCAGGCTGAGGACCTGGGCTGCCCGCTGAGCCAGGGAGAGGCCCGTGACACCTGTACACAGGAGAGTCAGAGGCCGGGATCAGGGATGGAGGCCATGAGACTCCCTCCCCATCCCTCCTGCCTGGGTGAGTGGCCACCGACCTGTGCCATGGCTAAGGTCAAGGATGACAGTGCTTTGGTCTACCCCACCCAGCTCTGCTACAATCCGGAAGAGTGCCTCGGTGGCGCCCGTGTTTGGGGGGAAAAAGGCCCCTGGAGAGATGCGGAATTTCAAGCCAAGCACGTCCTCAAACACATGGGGCTCCCCTGCCAGCAGCTGGTAGCGGTGGAAGCAGGACTGCTGTGGGCTGGGTGTGACTCTGAAGATGGAGATGGGGCAGCCCATGAGGAATGGCCCCCACAGGCAGCCCCAGCCTGGGTCCTGAACCCCACCAGGCTCACCTCTCCTTCAGGTAGAGAGAGGTCAGGTCACACACAGACCCCTGTCCTGACATGAAGAATTCCTTGGCTCTTTCCTTCTGAGAACAGATGTCTTCCTGCTTGGACCCAAAATGAGGAGCTGTGGACAGAGATGGCCAGCCCTGCCCCCCCGGGACATGAGGCATAGCTCCGTGACAGCTGCCCAGGCCCACCGCCAGGCTGGCCTTGGGGCCCATCTGACTCCCAGGGCATCTCCTGGGCCACAGCCCTCTCCCCGTCAGCTCCACCACCGAGGGGCCACTGTGGAGTCACAGGCTGTTACCTGACTTAGTCCCTGGGCATGAAAAGTGATGATGGCCATTGTGTGGCCTTGGCTGCTGGTGCGCACCCTCAGTCGACGCCAGGGCCCAAGCTGGTGAATGTCAAGGCTGGGGTTCCGGGGGGTTTGTCGCAGAAACACCTCATAGCACTGGGAAGCCAAGAAGATGGAGCAGTGCCAACCACCGGGGCCCAGTCAGAGAAGGGAGACCCCCCCCCAGTGTCCCTGCCTGGCTTGACATCCATGTTTGGGTCTGACCTGAGGTAGAGTCTGGGCCTCTACCGAGGGCCGTGAAGTCCTGGGTTCAAGTCTGGCCTTTGGCTGGGTGACCAAGGGCCCCCAGGGGCTCTTTATGGTGACAGTTCAGAAACAGACTGACCCATTGGCATGTCTGGCAACGCCTGCCTCCTCTCACACCCATGGCCCCCCACCTTGCTTGCCAAGGGAGGGAAGCTCTAAATGGAGAGAACGATTTCTTCCTGTGCTTCTCTCTGTATCAACATTTCTAGGGTCTCGACCAATCTCCTCCTCTGCTTCTTCCAAGTGAATACAAGGAGGCTCCCAGATGGGTCTGAAGGTGCCCCTCTGATGGACGTCTAGGTGAGCCTTTGAGTGGGCCTCTTCTAACCCCCATTCAGGGCATCTAAGCCCTGGACCTTAAGGGGGGGCCAACGTGAGCATGGAATGGGTGAGATCGGTCCCCACGGCCAAGGAGTCAATGTGTTCTGCTGACATGAGCTTTGTCACAAGAGAGTTAAGATGGTGGAGGAGACGGGAGTGAATCTAGACAAAGATGTGTGGCTCTGGGGGCAGAAGCCCTGACTGGTTGGGGAGCCCCACCCTCTGCCACTGCAGCCCCCCCTGCCAGCACTCGGCTCCCATGGGCCCTTCTTACCTGGGCGACCTGGTGGTGCCTGGCAGGAAGGGTTCTCAGATGGCCAGCAGGTACACAGAAAATCATCTTTCCTAAGGAAACACCAAGATTTATTTGGCCTTTTTTCTTCCAAAGCTATCTAGAAACAGGATGTGTGACCCTAACCGTGTCTGAGCAGGAGAGGCAGATGTCCAGAAAGGTCCTAACAAGAAAAGGTCGTGGTCAAGGTGCCACTAGTGAACGTCTGGCTCCCCCAGCTAGATGACTTCATGTGACCATCCCTAGCCTGGCTCAGATCCCCCTGGAGGAAGGGACGTGCTCAGTTCTGGAGGTTACAGTTTAGGAGAAACACTGATGTGCTGGCCAGACTCTGGGGGGAGGGATAGGCTGAAGGGCCAGGGAGGGGTGTGGTCAGAGAAGCCACAGGGGGCTTGCTAACTGTCCTCATCAAGTGGACGATGGATTTGCCTTCTTCTATTCAGGAGCCATCGGTGGGACGTGTAGTGAGGCTCCATGCCCAGAACTCCCTAACCCCCAAACTGGTCCCAGAGTGCGGAGGTGGGGGCTCCCCCTCCCCCGAGGTCTTCCAGTGCATGCAAGATGCCCACTGGCCGGGGAGGTTCAGGAAGCAGACTCTCCTTGGGTCCCTCCCGACTCAGACACAGTGGCTTTGGTCAGCCACAGATGCCCCCACTGAGCCCAACAGGCTCTTCATGGGACCCAATGGCTCACTCGGATCTCTTCAACATGAGGCTCCCCCTAAGACAGCTAACTCCCTCATCTCTCCCATGATGAGTCTGCTTGCTCTTCCCCAAACTGGGGACTGTGCATCTTAGAGCTCCCTGGAAAGCTGTGATCAGGAGCTGCCTCCTATAGGAAGCCCCTCCTCATCTCCTTAGCCATTCATGCCTTCTCCCTCCTTCCTCTTCAATTTATCAGGAAGGTAAGGATAAGCCCTTGAGGGCAGCGACTGTTACTCTGCTATCTTTGTATCCCCAGGAAAACATTGGTGCTTCATAAATGCTTCTTGGACTGAACCAGAACCATTCAGGGCAAAGCTACCAGTCAGAAAAGCAACTAGCTTTAGGGAAGGTTGGAAATGAGGACGGTCATTGCTTTTGGAACCAGGAGGCCAGTTGTCCGATAGAGAAAGACAGAGAGACAGAGAGAGAGCGAGAGAGGCAGACAGAGAGAGAAGAGACAGAGAGAGAGAGACAGAGACAAACAGAGAGACAGAGAGAGACAGAGAAACATAGTGAGTGACAGAAAGACAGAGATAGAGAGAGATAGAGACACACCGAGAGGGAGGGAGGGAGGGAGGGAGAGGGAGAGAGAGGGGGAGAGGGAGAGAGAGAGAGAGGGGGAGAGAGAGAGAGAGAGAGAGAGAGAGAGAGAGAGAGAGAGAGAGAGAGAGAGAGAGAGAGAGAGAGAGAGAGAGAGAAAGGAGGGGAGGCAGGGGAGAGAGAAAATGGCCTGGGGAAGCTGAGGCACGAGATCCCCTGTTCTCCACTGCTCCCTCCCTTGCCTGCCCTTGTCTCTCAGACCCTTCCCTGTCCATTCCCCCAGACTCACCTCCAGGGGATCTCAGAAAGCACCCCACAGTCCTCGGGTGGCCATCTGGGCCCCGGTTTACAGAGAAGACAGATTTGTTTCTGTAACCATCAATGACAGGCTGGCAAGAGAAGGTTGATAGGGAAGGAGGGAGAAGAGAGGGGGGAGGCAGCAGTTTAAAACAGGCTGCTAACCCTAAGGACAGGAAAAGAGTGACCTTTCTTTTGTGCACAGCCAAGGGACAATATCCCCAGCGGGAATGGGCCTGGAAGGGGCCATGGATGGGGTCATCACCTCTGGGGCCCCTGGCCACAGACGGGGTCACTACCACTGGGGGCCCTGGCTACAGACGGGGTCACTACCACTGGGGGCCCTGGCTAGGTCCCAAAGCAGAAAGAAGGAACTCACAGACGGGAAGAAAGGCTGGAGGAGGGCGCCTGGCCCTGGGGCCTCGGCCACTGCAGCTCCCAGCTTGTGGAGACGTCCCTGTAGCTGCTCCAAGGTCTTCTTGGTCACTTCAAACTTGACCTGCAGCAGGCAAAGGGATGTAGGGCTCTCTCTGGCCTTGCTGGTCTTTCTCCAGTCCCAGAGCTCAAAGCAACCTTTTGTCACCCACCAAACTGCATTCACTAGCCTGGGCCTGGCATTCGAGGCCCTCCACAGTCTGGTGCCTTATTTCAGGCTGCCCCATCTTCCTTCACTGGGCCTTTGCTTCTCCCACCAGTCCCTGTGCCTGTGATGGTCTCCTCTCTCCCTCCAAAGCCACTGGTATCTCTTTTCTCCCAGCAAGGGGCTGCCCTGATCCATGGAAACATCAGGTATTGGGGTGGTGAACCATAGGGATGTCTAAGCTGATCTGCAGTCCCTCACCACAGGATGCCAAGGGGTGGTGGGGCTCACCCTGGGAAGGGGCACAGACAGTAGGCCCCCTCCCCAAAAGGGTAAGTGCCAGGGCTGTGACAAAGACAGGAGAGGTTTGAAAATCATGCCCTGTGGCAGAGTTCACTGGGAGCAGGGGCAGCCCAGCCCCACAACCCGGTCACCTTTAAATTGGGAACACAAAGGGTGGGAACAGAGAGGAGGGCCTACTCAGGCAACTGGATGAGACCAGCTGATTGCAAAAGTGGCAAACTCCAGTGCTGGATGGGGCACTTTTGCCCCTTCACCATTAACACTGGCAGTGGGCACTAGAGCCAGAGTCCCCTGGGCAGGTCTCAGTCAAAGTATGTCTCTAAAAGGAAGAAGGGACTGAGCCCTCTCTGCTGGCCCATGTGCAGTGAGGCCACAGACAAACTGTCAGGAAGCATTAGAGGAAGCTTTCCCATCTGGGGAATTCTTACATGGAAGAAATCCCATGTCCATCCCTCTTCAGCTGCCCTCTACCCTGCAGAGAAATATGAAGCCATGCAGGGAGCGATGGTGGCTGGGACCAAAGCCTGAGATTCCAGGGAATGGGAATGACCCAAAAGAATCAAAGAGAGAGGGACAGGTCAGCAGAAGTAGCCAAGCACGGAGACCCAAGGTCAGGCCCTGCACCATTAGGGCCTCCTGTAGCTTCTCAGAATCAGGGGACAAAGAAAGCTCCTTCTACACATCCCACAGGTGTGTAGCCGTTACTCAAGAGTTAGACCATCACCTTTAGTTGTTCGTCATAGTTCAGTCTCCAGAGGGGCAGCAGTTGATCTGCCAACCTGAAATAAATCCAGGCCTGAGCTCTACTTATCCGGTCACCCAACCCCATCCATGTATCCATCCAGTCACCCACCCATCCATCTCCCCACCCACCCATCTGTCCATCCATCTGTTCATCCATTCATCCATTCATCCATCCATCCATCCACTCAGACCCAGGAAAAGTTTCCCAGTTGCCTCCTATGTGTAAGACTACATCTGCAAGAGACCTTCTAATTCATTTTACCTCCTTCCGGTTTTCATCCCTCTAGGAGGGATCTCTGTTTTTCTCCCTCCAGGAGAGGTTCCCACCCAACGCCCACTTCCCTCAAGGAGTCACCATCAATTTCTTTCCTGCTAAATCCAATGGTGTTTTCTCATTCTTCTCCTTGACCTCTCTCTGCCCCACTGACTAATCACCTTGTCCTTAGGGCCATTTTCTTCTCTCTGGGTTTTTGTGACCCACCCTCCTCAATCTCCTTTGCTGATTCCTCATCCATAATCATCCCTCTACAGGGCTTGGTCCTGGGTGCTCTTCTCTTCTCTCTTTACACATATTCTCCTCCTGTTCTCATCAGCTCCCAAGAGTTCACTGATCATCTCTATGCAGGGAACTCCCAAACCCAAGCCCAGTCATCCTTCCTTTCCTGAGCACTAATCTTCCCTAGGTGTGTTGGGGGCATTCAACAGAGTTATAGTTCAGTCTCCACCTTGAACCCAAGCCCACTCCTCCTTCTGACTTCCCTATCTTCCTCAGTGGCACTGCCATCCTGACAGTCACCCCAGTTTACAGCTTAGGAGCTAGACTTGGCCCTTCTCTCCCACACTCCACGTCACCCCTCCCCACATCCAATCAGTTGCCAAGTCCTCAACCTCTCCCCAGGTTCAAGGCATCTCCTGGCCCTCCTGGATTATTTCGATGGCCTCCTCACTGGCCTCCCTGACTCCTCTCCACAACTAACCTTCATACAGCTCAGTTCACTGGGCTAAGAACCCACTATTTGACAAAAACTGCTGGGAAAACTGGAAAAGAGTATGGCAGAAACTAGGCACAGACCAAAATCTCACACCATATACCAAAATAAAGTCAAAATGGGTTCATGATTTAGATATAAAGGCTGATACCATAAGCAAACTGGGAGAGCAAGGAATAGTTTACCTGTCAGATCTATGGAGAACAGAAGAATTCATGACCAAACAGAAGATAATGAACATTACGAAAAGCAAAGTGGATAACTTTGCATTAAATTGAAAAGTTTTTGCACAAACAAAGCCAATGCAACTAAGATTAGAAGGAAGGTAGAAAATTGGGAAAGAATTTTTACAACCAGTGTCTCTGATAAGGGCCTCATTTCTAAAATATATAGAGAATTAAGTCAAATCTATAAGAATACAAGTCATTCCTCAGTTGATAAATGGTCAAAGGATATGAACGTGCAGTTCTCAGGTGAAGAAATTAAAGCCATCTATAGTCATATAAAAAATGTTCTAAATAACTATTGATTAGAGAAATGTAAATCAAAAGCAAATCAAAACTCTGAGGTACCACACCACACCTATCAGATTGGCCAACATGATACAACAGGAAAATCATACAGCCCAGTTCAGATGGAGGTGCTGCTCTGCCCAAGAGGTCCCAGGGGCTCTCCAATGTCCCTGGGAGCAAAGGATTCAATCTTACCTCTCCTGCCAAAAGCTCAGGTCTTGGCCTGGCTGCCCTTCTTGGGGCTTTCTTTCTCCCTGACTGTGCTCTGATGCTGCCTGGGTGAAGTTTCCCTCCACTGCTGAGGCCAGTGACGCTTGGTGCTGACCCTGGGGGCACCAGGGAAGCAGTCTTCTTTTGGAAAGGAGAGCCCCAGAAGACAGGATGGACCTTGGGCTGGCCATTAGCCACTTAGGACAAAAGCAGCACTCGAACCTTCCCCTGCACGAGAACATGACACTGACCAGAAAGGCTGAGATGAAGAGGCCTGCCTCCCATCTGCCTTTCTCCCCTCCACCCTTTTGCTCAAGCTGGGTACTCGGCCTACAGGGCTCTCCCTTATCATCTCTGGCCCCCACCCCCATCCCGGTAGAACATAAACTCCCCGGGGGCAGGAGAAGGCTCACTCCCAGGGCCTTTGGCTGAAAGCTCCCTGAGAGCCGTCCCACGTGGAAGGGGCGGTTTTGAGTCCCACAGCCTTCCCCTCTCTGGGCACCTCCTCGTAGAATCCGGACAGGCACTAATTAGGCGCCAGCTCGTGCCAAGGCGGGGAAAGGGAGGCGCAGGGCTGGACAGAGGCGCTCCCGGCCCCACTTCGGTCGGCTGCCTGGCAGTGACCAGGGCAGCCCTGGCGGCAGCACGAGAGTGGACCAGGAGGCCACGAGCCCCCTTCCCAGCCCAGCCGCAGCTACTTCCGGGCGGGGAGGAGGTGCTCCTCCTGCGGAGGGGCGGGGTGGGGGTGGGCGGGGCCCTGGAGCTTCCCCTCTATTCCTAATCCCAGCTCCACCCCCCCAGCAGGAGGGGGGAAGGGGAGGGTTGGGTGCTCCCCTCACGTGCTCTCATGCGCCCCAAGACACCCCTTACAATCCTCCCCCCACACCTCCATGCCCCCACTTGCCCCCTCTGGCCCGTGGCTGCATCACAGGCAGATTCCTAGGCGCTTCCTTTTCCGTAGGATGTCCAACAGATTATTGAGATAATGGAATGAATAAATTATGCAATTTCCCTTGTCTGTTCGCCCGCCCCCATCTCGGATTTTTCCTTTGGAGTTTTCTCTGCACCTCTTTAACTTTTCTGGTTCCCACACTGGGTTGTTGCAGTCCTCTTTTGTTAATCTGGATATCTGTATTCTGGTAGAGATTCCTTCCTCCCTCTCTAGGGGTCTGTGGCCATCCTTTCGTTCACATGCCAGTCTGGCCAGCTAGTCCCCGGACAGCGCCTCCTTCAGACAGGTTTCAGTCCTCTGCCCCCCCAAAAAGGGCTGCTATGATTTTTGTACAAACAGCCTTTTCCCCTCTTAAGGGCCTTTTCGCCCTGTGAGCAGTGGGCGTGCCCAGTTCTTGAGGGGATCAAGGAATCTCAGGGTGATGTCTTGAATTGCCAGTGAATCGGATTCACGTGAGGCAGAGTTGCCCAAAGACATCGATGTCTAGCAAGACAAAAGTTAAGCCCACCGGAGATGGGCCGATGCAGTGGGTGACCTTGACTTTCCTAGGCCTTAGTTTGCCTGATGCCATGCACACTCAATGACTATGGGCTGGGTGGGAGCTGAGACAAAAAAATGACTCAATTTACCATCAGAAAAATGTCCGTCTGGGAGGGCAGAGAAGTTAGGGGCAGCTCAGGGAAGGAGGAAAGGCTTGAAGGGGTCGGAAAGGAGACCCAGAATTTCTAGAGGTAGAGGGGAGGGCATGGAATTGGGAAAGGGCAGTCGTGTGTGAGGGATGGCAAGAAGGGAGCCTCACTGCACCCTCGTGTGTGTAGGGAGGAAATTACCTCGTTGTAAGGCTGAAGAGGAAAGATCTCAGATGACAAACAGAGGAGTGAGCTACTGGAGATTACTGAACAAAGCCAGTGACATGGGCAGCCCTGCCCTTTGGCAGCTGTACAGAGAATAGACTGAGGATCAGTCAGTCAGTCAACATGCATTTATTAAGCACCTGCTGTGTGCCAGGCTGTGTGCTAAGTACTGGGGATATAAAAAGAGGACTCCCTTTTCTGAGGGCTCCCAGGACCTCTCACCTACCCCTGCTGACACAACACAGGCAAACACAAGATACAAATATGCAGGCTTTATTTATTCCTGGCCGGCTTGGAATGAAGAGGACCTGCAGGCAGGAAGAAGCCAGGAGCCTGGTCTACCAAGAATCCAGAACCTCAGAGCTTGGAAGAGGCACCAGAGACAATAGGAAGAAGCTCAGTGCAGTGGCAAGAGGGTTCAATCAAAGGAATAGGGCCTGAGTTCGAGTCTGGCATTCAAGATTTACAACTAGTGTGACCCTGGGTAACTCCTGACCTCTCTGGACCCATTTCCTCACCTGTAGAATGAGGGAGATGGATAGATGGCCTCGGAGGTCTCTTCCAGGGGGAGATCTGGGGCCTAGGACTGCACACTCTACAGCTCCCCTAACGAGGGATCAGCTGGGCTCCAGGGGAAACCCACCAGGGCTGGGGAACTCACTACCTAATAGGGCCCGCAGCCTCCTGGATGGCTCCAATGCTGGGGAGCTGTTCCCGACACCAAGCCCAAACAGAACCCATCGGACCCTACAAATACCGGGTAACAGTTATCGTGGCCTCCCCAAGAAAAGCGCACTCCTTCAAAGCTACCCCCATGACACGAGCCCCAGGCCCTTTCCCTCCCTGGTCCCCTCCACTGGACACCTGCCTGCTGCTGGGCCTGGGCCCTCACTGGTTTGGGGACTGATCCCCTCCCTCAGGGCCTTCCCCTCCTGGCCTTCTCCCGTCCACCCCCATCCAGAGCATCCAACCAAGACATGGGAAGGAGGCTCCTCCAGCTCTTCTTCACGTCAGGCTCTCAGGCTGCCCATCCCCCATCCCTCATTCTGCCCCCTATCTGTGGGGGTCCTAAGGGTCTTTCCCGACACCCCTTAAGCTATGTGGGTCACCAGTGAACTAGGAGTCTTTCTACTACTGCCCTAGGTAACCCACAACTCAGAACAAGGTGTGTGACCACATAGTTTGTGAAAAGATGTGTCTTTGAAAGCAAAAAGAAGTAAACCTGGTAATGATATTTCTATGATGTGAAATTTAATACAAACTTCCCAAAAGAAATTCCGTCTCATGTAAATCCTTCTTCTGGTTCTTCTTTATATTTTGGGATGTTTGCATTTATCAATGACTAAGCTATAATAAGTAAATTTATCTTTAAAAAAGATGGAGTTTCTATATTAATTGGGAAAAATTTTTAAAAACATATAGAAATAGAGGGATCTTTGCTTAATCTCATCATAAACACATATAACCTCCCAATTCCCCTCAAGCTCATTCCCTCCCCCTCAGTTCTAGGACCGACAGTCAAGGCCTGTCTCTGAAAGTCTTGCTGAGGGACTTGCTCAGGGGCTGTCCCCCAGTCCCACTTCCCAGACTCTACTGTCTTCTCCCATCTATCTATGGAGCCCATTTCTGGAGTCATCCTGAGGCTCAGCACATCACCAGGGGCCACCAGCACCAGGGAATCCCTCACGTAGGAAGTTCTCCTGAGTAGCCAAAACAGGTCCTTTCCTATGGCTCACCTGGCATTAACAGTCACAGAAGAACAGGATTTTCTTTGGGGCTGCACGGATCAAAGAATGTACACAGCCCAACCCTAGGCAGGAGGCCCTCCTTTCGGGAGGAGAGCCCTTCATGCAAGGCTTAGCTCTGTCAAGGCAGTTACATCTTTTGGAACCGACAAACAACTACTTGTCAATATCCATCTGAAAAGGGAGCTCCCTCAGTCCAAATGTGATGGGGGCCCCAGGACCACTTCCTCCCTGGTCCTGGGTATCTCCCTGGACTGGTCAATCTGTGGGGCTGGCACTCTGGTACTCATCCTCCCCCTCAGCCTAAGACTGGCAGAAGTCTCTCCCAGGCTGCTCAGGCACCTCTCAGGTAACACAGAAAACTAGATCCTGTCTGCTTTTCCTCCTGCTTCCAGGAGCCATATATATATACTAGAGCTCTCAAGCAACAGGACATACCCCTTTTCTCTGGACGTGCTTCCCTGCTTCCTGACTTAAAAACAGGACCTCAAAATGAGAAACCTCTGTAAGGAAGTGTGTATTGGGTGGATTTTTTGTTATTCTTTCTTAGAGTTTTCTTCTCAGGATCCACAGCCATATACTCTCCAGGTGCTGGATGTGAGCTGTCATGATCATGGTTGAAAACAGTTTCTACTGCATAGTTGCAGTAGATATAGGGATGAAGCAATGTAAAATTGTGAGGCTATTGCTAGCAATACGCTTTCTTTGTCTGTTGCTCTATAAAGTGAGCACTGGTCAGTGACTGGGGATACCCATAAGGGTGAATGTGAAGGCTGAATGCTTTGTGCCTTGACCAGCCGCCATCAAGGCTTGGGAGGGGGAATCTGTGTGTTTGCCTCAACAGGCTCCTATCGAGGCTTGAGGGGATTTAGGGGAGGGCACAAGTTGTACTGGTCCGGATTGACCCCACTGAGAGGAGGGGTAGTTTCCCCCCCTTCACGCTGGCCCCTGTGAGAAGGGCTGTTAGGGAATGCTGTAGGCATCAGTGCTCTCATTATCAGCAAACTCCCTTTGAGAAGACTAGACTAGAATAAAGTGAGCTTATTTAACCCCTTATTATGACTCTATTCCTATCTTCCTGTCGGGATCAAAAAGCGAACCTGCTAGTGAGAGAGGTACTAGAAGCCCTCCTGTGTCTCCTTCCTAAGAAATGGCGGAGTCTGTGTGTTTCCTTGTGAACAAGCTCCTTCTAACGTAGGTAAATGACTGAATCCTCATCTCCAACACTAAGCCCTAAACAACTAATGCACATTGGTCAAAATATCATAAAACACTTCTCCCCAATTAACTCTGAAGTTCTCCAATCTGACACGACCACCTAGAACACAGAATTAGGAAGCTGAGTTTGCCCTGGACAAGTTAATTGCTCCTTTAAAAAAATATATATATATACATATGTATATACACATATGTATATACACATATGTATATACACATATGTATATATACATATATATAATATATAGAGAGAGAGAGAGAGAGAGAGAGAGAGAGAGAGAGAGAGAGAGAGAGAGAGAGAGAGAGTTCCAAATTCTCTCCCTCCCCAACCCATGGAGGTGAAAGAAATAATTCCTAATCAAGTTAGTACTGATTATCCTGATGATTTATTTCAGTTTGTAAGGTCTCATTCAGATAGCTTTTGGATGAAGAGATATGCAATCACAGTATTATTAAGCTGGCTATGAAGAGAATTTCTGTCAGGGGCTGCGTCCCTCTTCTTGTCAGCCAGGGTAAACTCCTGCTTTTGCAGAGCTGAGGTTGGCACAGACCTTTCCTCTCTTTCCCACACTCCAGACCACCCGTACCTCAGCCGTAACTTTCCAGCTAGAGCAATCACCCCCAACGAACAGGATGACGGATGGGAGACTCTTGCCCAATGGAATAACGAATCGAAAGAGTGTCCCGCCCTCCCGCCCAAGACGCCCCGTTACGTCCAGCCCCAAATATCGGCCACAAGAACAAGTTACACCAGACTGTCCCTGGGTGTGCTTGGCCCAACTGCAGGTCAAGTGACTTACCTCGTCCAACTGAATTATGTTCAAAGCAAATTTCTCAGGCACCTGTAACTTGTAATTCCCCTTTTTCTACTATAAAAATAACCTCCGTAAATCACTCCTTTGTCTCTGAGTGCAGATGACTTTGCTTGTTGGCAGCTGTTTGCCTTGCAAATAAAAAAGTCA